GCAGGTGCACATTCACACTTAGAGGAGACAGTTTTTTTATGTGACGCACTCAGCTGAACCAAGCGAGATCCTGGGGCTCACTACGAGCATGTACATTAAGATTCTACCTTTTACTCCTTACAAATTCTCGCTTCTGCTTTCTCTTTCCGTTTTAAAGAGGCCTTCTGAGCCATCATGCAGATAAATGAACTACCGCTTGACTTAATTCCACCAGCACAGAGCTGGGAAAAAAAAGCAGGGGTTGGCAACACAGCAAAGGGCTATTCTCTGCTAGCAGAGCCTACAGAGAGTGGTACCAAGAAGAGGCAGCCTCAGGATGGCCAGGCAGGGCACACTCGGCATCCCAAAGGATAGGCTGGAGGCCAGGCAGAGGCAGCCTAATGAGCCCAGGATAGTCAGCTGGTCTTGCTGGCCAAAGGACCCATGGACTCTGGGGCCAGGACTAGAATGCAGGTAGGCTGATCTCAGATGTGACATCCGCAAGCCCTTGGGTGGAGGGTAAGTAAGGGCCCCGTTGATACAGCCGGTCATGGACGTTCTCTTTCTCTTTCTTCTGGCTCTTGGTCAGATCCCCCTCCCTCACCTCCTCAGAAGTAAGCCTTGGCCTCAAAACTGTCTTGGGCCAATAAGTGGATGTTGTGCTTCTGGGGAGAAGCACTGAGTGATTTTACATGATTTACCATCTTCTCCTTCAGCTGCCTTGAGAACACGTATCAGGATGGAGCTTCCTCCAGGCCAGACTACTAAGATGAGGAAAACCCCTGGTGCTGTAGACTGGATGTTTGTGTTTATACAAAATTCATAGTTGCAACCTAACCCCCAGTGGGCTGGCACTGGGAGGTGGGGTTCTGGGAGGGGATTAGATCATGACCCTGAAATCCTCATGAACGGGACAGTGGCCTTACTAAAGAGCCGCCAGAGAGCTCCCTTTGTCTTTTCTACCCTGAGAAGATGAGCAAAAAGACAGCCATCCATGAAACAGGAAGTACCCCTTATTGGCCCCCGAATCTGCTGGCGCCTTGATCTTGGACTTCCCAACCTCTAGAACTGCGAGGAAGAAATGTCCATGGTTTGTAAGCTGCCCCGTCTATGGTATTCTGTCATAGCAGTCTGAATGTGCCCAAATGCACAGACGAAACACGACACGGGAGGTAAAATACACCTTTGCAGTGTTGAGCCCTCGACCCCTCGACATTAGGGGGCCGTGCGTCTCTGCCAGGGACACAGGGATCGTCTCCCTGAATCATCCCAGCAAACCTGTGACTCCTTTAAGGAGGAATGTGAATGTATATCCTGGTGACTCTGAGTCCTTTGCCTAGATCACAGAATAATGAGAGATGGTCTGCCCAGAGCCCTACCCTTAACCGCACTTCGGCGAGAGCCAAGCAGGAGAGAAAAGAAGGCTTTCCGATCTCCGTAAATGGCATCAAGAAACGCCTGCACATACAATTGGCATGAAACCAGGCAATTGAGCAGAGTAACCTCTGCAACAATCCTACTCTGAACCAAACAACAAAAAAGTGCAAACAGGGCATCTGCCATGGGAGACAGAATGTAACACTATTGTTACAGTATCCTCTGAGATAGTGACACAGTATTAAATGGTTACCCTTAAGGTGACCCAGCCCCAGGGCAGGCTGACAGAACAGGGATGGGTTGGGGGGGTTAAGGGAATGCCTCCCTCCCCGCCACCTCCCCCCCAGCTCCGCTTGCTTTGCTAGACTAATCCTTCCCCACTACAGAACATAAGACCCTATAAGACCCTACAGAACCCTACAGAACATAAGACTTCCACTGTTTACCAGACCTAACGCCTTTCAAAGCCACAGGCATGATGAGGCAGAATAAGAAAGAAAAGAGTCTAAGAACCAAGGGGATTATTTGCAGCTAATAAGAAAACATTCTATGTGTGGTCAGCAATTTTACTTTTTCCTGAAATTTCCCAGCAGCGTTCAAAGTCCAGAAGCCATGGTACAAACCTCTGTAACTTCTCATAGTGTCTTAAGAATGCAAGAATTTCAGGGCGCCTGGGTGGCTCAGTCGATTAAGTGTCTGACTTCGGCTCAGGTCAGTATCTCACGGTTCATGGGTTCCAGCCCCGCGTAGGGCTCTGTGCTGACAGCTCAGAGCCTAGAGCTGCTTCGGATTCTGGGTCTCCCTCTCTCTCTGCCCTCCCCTGCTCATGCTCTGTCTCTCTCTCTCTCTCTCAAAAATAAATAAAGATTAAAATAGTTTTTAAAAAAGAATGCAAAAATTCCCCAACACGCATTTGTTTCTTAATGGGCATTCATCTCAAGTACTGACCAACAAATGACAAGAGACAAATTCAATGATGGGCTGTTAGTATTCCTATCCTTCAGCAATTCATGGCACTTTTCACTTGCACGGCCTGGGGATTAGTCCTTGTAGCCTTTAAACCAGAAAAGTGGGAGGAGAGGAAGTATATTCTTTAGCTGTCTCTTTGCATCATGTTATTGACTTTCAGATTGAGCAATGCCTCTGAAGTCTGGACAGAGTCCACACATGGCCACGTTTCATTTCAGGGAATCCTGTTAGCAATGACTGAATACGTGTGTCATCTGAAGCCACCATTTATTTATGCCCTTAATACTAGATTGGCTTTTAAAGCACCAGCAAAATAATGTAAGCTGCTTTCATGCTTGTGATCTCCATCACAATTATTAACTCACTTTTTAACCTAATAAAAAATGGTGGTCATCCATTTGATTGGATGGATTGAAGGGATTCTTTTTAACTACCATGTATCACCTTCGAATTTCTTATGACACTCTGTGGTGCCACATATGTTTAGAATGTTGCCCATCACAAAGTCGGCATTACATTTTCAATACGCCAGGTTACGTTTGTTATGAGGTTTTAAATTGCAAATATCTAAACAGAAATTAACATCTAACTATCTGCAACATGGCGTACCACAACAGAAGATATATAGTACAGATACCCCAAGCTTGAATTCAAAGAAAACTTACATTTTTATGCAAATTCTAATTTTCTCATTGTATTGTCATAAATACTATTTTATTGAAGACAGAGATGTTTCAGAGGAGCAAGAGAATATCGCAAAAAAATTTTCACGGGAAGTAAAGCCCCCTTTCTAACTGAAGGCAGATACAGAGAAAACCATCAGCAACAGAATACCTGTGCCATAAAATGTATTTGAGAGAGCAAACAAAAACGCTATGCTGATTTAAACAACAAATGAGGTGACTTTTTTTTTTTTTTAATGCAATGCTGTCTTTCGGCACATCTGAGTAAAGAAGAAAGCATGGTCCTCACATGCTTTTAAACAAGCAGACTTTCCTTCCCTTGGTGTCTAACCCTCAGGAGAGGCTGAGCATCCTACACTCATCCAGAAAGGTAAGGCTGCCATGGCCCTCCCTGGCAGGACTTGAAACTGTCGTGGGAAGTAAAAGTGAGGACACAATAAAGTATAAGGGGTGCAGTGTCTGACTCAAGGAGACGTAGACAGAAAAGAGTGCACTACAGGTTTTCACTAACTGAAGAGCGGGAACAGCAGCTCAAAGTCCAAGATGCAAATGAACATGGAACTGCTCTCAATCTGGACCCCTGTCCCTGGTACTAACATCACATACCAACAGCAAGGGCCAAATCCCATGAAAAGGCGCTTTGCCCCCCTTTCAACTAATAACCACCGGCCCCCGTGCTCTTTCTCGGAGCTTGCATTTTTAAGTGGATTCTGCTGTCTTCCACACAACTTGCCCGCCCAGAAATCAGCTGCTTCCACGGTCCTACGGATGTGAGCCACGCTTCCGATACTAGGAAACGGTTCTCCGCACGCAAGGCAGTCTGCTCCCCAGCTCAAAGCTTTACACTCGAGCTTTCAAGGGACTTAATCAGGCTCTGAGAGAAAAGGCACAGACCTTCCGACCCGATTGTTAGGAGAAATACTCCTTCCTCCCGGGAAGCCTGTTGTTGCCGCAAAGCCCAGAAGAGAAGCGCTTGGTGGGGGCGGGAGGGCGGGTCGGAGTCAGGACCGTGCGGCTGTACGAGACGCCTGAGTTTCGGAAGTTATCTCTCCGTCATAACTGGAGATGTGACCCCAATACAAGGAAACCCGAACACTCCGTTAACGGACGCAGTGTGGCTTCTGCATCTCCGCGGGAAGGAGCAGCATCCTCCCGGGGGCTCGTCCGTGGTGCTACACTCTTGAGACCATTCCCTTAGTTTCGTGTTAACATCTGGTTTAAGAAGATGCCGATGGGTCGGGCTGGAAACTGGATCCACTACACGTCTCTTTAGGGGGCTTTCCCCTTGCAGATGGCGAGCGCCAGGGCTCGGCTCCAGGGCCGGGAACGCTTCCGGCGAGGCGCGCACTCCAGGGCGCGGCGGTGCCGGCTCTCCGGCTCCCACCCTGCGCCCGGCAGGTGCCCGGGGAGCGGGACGCTCCGCTCGCTCTTGCGCCCTTCTCGTCGCTTCGCGCACAGCCCCCCTCGCCGGGCTCTAGAAGGGGCCGCCAACTGCTCACCCGGAGAACAAGCTCCGGAAACTCTCTCGGCTGGTGCGCGGACCCAGGCCGGGGGGCCGGCGGCGGCACCTCGCGGATGCGCTAACCGGCAGTTTCTGGACGACGTAACGGCGTCAGAGACCGTGCAGACGCCCCTCTAAGAGCCCACCGCCCCCGTTCCTTGGAGCCCCGCCGCGGCAGGTGCCCTCCTCGCTCACCCCGCAGGGGCGCCCCCAGAACGCGACGCACACCAACCCCGCGGGGAGGGCGGAGGTGCGCGGGGGGCCGAGCTGTGCCGGGAGAGGCGTCCGTCCCCTGCCCTCCCCGCAGCCCGGTCCTTCCCGGCAAGAAAGCGCAGGAGCCGAGGCCCCGGGGCGCACGGAGGACGCGGCCGCCCCAGCCCCCCCAGGAGGCGGGCCCCTGCCGGGTCCCCGCGCCCGGCCCCGCCGCCCGCGCGCTCGGGCCGCCTCGCGGGCAGGTGCCCGGCCGGCCCCGGGGAGCGCGCGGCTCTTACGTGCTCCAGCTTGTCTTTCCTCCGGAGCCAGACGCTGGCGCTGTAGTCCTGCTGCTTGACGCTGCTGTAGAAGTTCGCGCCCACTCGGGTCAGGCTCGGCGAGGGCTCCTTGGGGCGGCTTTTGAGCCTCATCTGCTCGAAGCCCTCGTGGGGGGAGGCCGAGAGCCACTCGTGCTGCCGGATCTCCATGCTGACATGACCGGGCGGCGGCCGGCGCGCAGCGGGCTGGGGGGCGCGCGGGAGGCCGGGCCGGGGCTGGAGGAGGAGCGAGCGGGCGCAGGGGGCGCGGGGAGCAGAGCCGGGCGCGCGGCCGGCGGAGAGAGGCGAGGTCGGGGGTGGGGCGGGGAGCGGGGAGGCGGGACGCGGGGGCGGGGAGGCGGCCGCGGGGGTCCGGGCGGGCGCCCCGCACGCCGGCTCCTTGCGGCGGCAGCGGCGGCGCGGGCGGGGTGCGGTGGGAGGGGCCGCGGCCCGCAGCCGGCGGAGCCCGCAGGTTGGTGCAGTGAGCAGCCGCGCCGCCGCCCCGAGCCCGCCCCTGCGCGCGGGGTGCACCCCTCCGGCGCGCGGCCCTGCGGGAGAGCGAGCCGCCGCCGGAGGGGGACGCCGTCTCCGCGCCTCCTCGCTGCCGCCGGCCCCGCGCGGGGCTCGATCCGGGGGAGACCCTCCCCCGCCGCCTCGGCCCCTCCCCCGCTCGCCCCCCGCGGGCCGCGCGCCGCCGACCCCGCGTCGCCCCGGCTGCGCCGCCCCTAGTTCTGAAAGTTCTGTAACTTCCCACCGAGCGGACGCAGAGCGCGGGGCGCCTGGCAGACCCACCCCCACCCCCAAAATGGCCACAAGGGCAAGTGTTGGGTGTAGACGCGCACACTACTCTCCTGGGCGTGTGCGGCGCCGCGGGTCCCCCCGAGGCCGCTCCCGGGCCGCGGCGCCCCGCCTCCCGACCCGGCCTCGACCGAGCGCCGCCGCTCCGAGCGCTGGGCCGCAGTTTCTAGACTCCGTCCCGGCCCCGCTCGGCCGGGTTTACCATCCGGAGGGGAATCGCTCCTCCCCCTCCCGGGCCCAGTGCAGAGAGCCCGAGCCGGGCGTGAGGATTTTCTGGAAGTAAGGCGGCGTGTTAAGAGTTAAGTCTTTAACCTCTTTCTTTTGCTGTCTTTGCATTCGGCAGCTTTGAACGTTGTTTTGTTTGTTTGTTTGTTTTGGTTTTACCGAAAAGCTCAAAAACAACTGTTAAGAATTTCTCGGGTCCATTTAAAAGCTTCAGAAGTGAGTGCAAGCGGCTGAAGCATCAGTGGACTTTAAGGAGGGCGGGGACGCAAAGGGTGAACTGACCTCTCTTCAGCTCGTGGCTGACCTGTTTCCAGAAGGTCCAGCTTGGATGACAGCTTCAAAGAAATCCCGGGTTGAAAGGTGAGGGTTTTGTGAGGGCAAGGATTGGGTCTCCTATCTTTCCAGAGTCTCCATGTAAACAGCTGGTGCTGTAATAATGCAGGTTGTCATAAAATCTTATGGGCAGTCAACTAAAAACAGGTTTTGGTTATTCTGGATTAGTTTTCTCAGGAGCTGAGTCGAATTGGGTGATATAGACCCCCCCACCCCCGACCTTTGGGTTTTCTCTAAATCTCACAGTTACTCTGCAAGATAAAGGTTATTTAAGCCCATTTTCCAGGTGAGGGGACTGAGACTCAAACAGAAATTACACATCAGAGCAAAAATCTGAACCAGGGTTTAAAGGTTTCCAACACTATACGTTCCAGTGTCTTGTCTCTCATGTTTTGCTATTACAATTTAAACTTGATAGCTTTTGCTTTTTCTTTTTAAAGTATAAGCACACAATTTACATGTCTACAAACACTTCTGTGTCTTTTATAATATTGGCGTTAGGAAACCTGACTGCACCCCTGCAAAGAATATCTCTGATTTCTGCTCCGTAAAATTATACTGAAGGTCATGTGATAATATATGCAAATCTTGACAAGGGACAGATATCCCATTCAGAGTAATAATGAAGTGTTGCACTGTGGTGGAATTTAAACAAATGGTTTCCACGTCAAGTCAGGTTCATATTGAATAGATTTTTTTAAACTATACCTTTGTAGGAGAAAACACTATAGGAGTTTCAACCTTCTCCATTTTTTAAAAGGATTATACTGGTAGCATATATGTTACAGGCAAGCTACTGATCTGAGCAATTATATAGATGATGTCTGTTAGGATCAAAGATATCAGGCCAAGCATAAATTTTTACTGCTTCCTCCTTAACCCACTTAGTATATAGTGCCAGGCATTAAGACAGACTCAACAAGTTCAAATAAACCTGAGTGAAATTATCTTGACAATTTTATTTCTGTCTTAGACACCTGTTCAGGCTCACTGTTTCTGACAGTACTATGGGACTTGCTCATTGACCTTCAAAAGCATGTTTCATACAAAACGGAGCTCAATTCAAAGACAAATACTGTTTCTGAAGATGGTCAACTACAGTTTGTGAATCTTGCACCAAAAAAATTATCAAAATGTATAGGTATCACTGACTCTATAAATTAAGTCCCTTGGCACTTTTACCTGTCCGTGTTCATAGCCCTTACACGGTCCGAATGCAGCGCAGGTCCTGTGTGTTATCCAACCTACTACCCCTGGCTTCTTGCCAACTGGGGCCATCCCTGACCTTCTCCTGCGCTAACATTCATAACATGTTTTTTGTTTCTTTGTCTTCAAGAGCACTGGACTTAACATTAAAATACCTAGGTTTTAGTACCAGCTCCATTAATCACTAAGTTGTGACTTTCTGGGTTTTCATTTGATGTCAGTAGCCTTCAAGTTCATCTAATAAATGGAGAATAATCATTGCCACCTCAAATGAGTGCTACGGGGATGAGCTGATGTAATACATGAGAAAACACCATATGAACTATGCAGGGCTATGTTGCTGTTCTTAGAATGTTCAGGCTTAGAAATGTTCTTTGCATTACCCTTTAATCTGTCATTTTCATTGGCAAGTATATCCCTTCCTTAATCTTGATTGCTTATCATTAATCATAGAAACTGCACTCAGCCACGAAATTGCATCTCATTAATGTTTATATTTATTCTAGAAATGTTTTACCTAGGGGTGCCTGGGTGGCTCAGGTGGTTGAGCATCTAGCTCTTGATTTTGGCTCAGGTCAGGAGCTCATGGTCAGTCATGGGATCAAGCCCCTTAGATCTCCCTGCCTTCTTGGGTTTCTCTCTCTCTCTTCCTCTCTATACCCTCTCTCTTCCTCTATTTATAAAAATAAAATAAAATAATAAAAGTTTGGAAATACTTTACCTAAGTTGCTATTGGTATTTCACACAATACTTCAAACTATATACAAATTTCAGGTAAAACATATATGAGCTGTCAACATCTGGTGATTTCAAGCTGAAACTCTACAGATGCCACTGACCAAAAATTGTTAACATTGTCTGAATAAGACATTTTGCAGGGGTGTAAAACCTGAGGCCAGAGTTGACCGAGAGTATCCAGAAGCACTGGGAGTATATTTTTAAGCCTTTCATAATTAATAATAATACCTTACATTTGCATAATGTTTACAATGATAGGATGTTTTCATGCCCTTTGGCACTGCTTCATGCAAAAGTTATCTGAAAGTAGTCTTGGTGTTTGCTACCATCTCCATTTCTCAAAAGAAAGAAACTGAAGTTCATGGACATTGGGCTCAAGACCTGCCCAAAGCCATGTGTCGAAAAAGCCACAGAAACTGTTCTAGAAGCCATTGACTCTAAATAAAGGATTTTTTTTCACAATGTCATGCCAAAAAATTTCAAATGAATACTTCTCAGTACTTACACCTTTTATTTTTCATGCATTTACTTTTATTAAGTAGTACCAGACTTTCTTAAAGGTTTATTACTGATGAATAAAACATTTCAATAATCAGACCTTCTTTGGCAGTGTGCTTTATGTTCTCCTGATTACCCTCACACTAGGCAAGACCATATTAAAACACTCACCCAAGAAATTACTCCCTTCTTTGTCGTCAAGAAGTAAATCCCTCAGCTTAAGACAGTGTTACTTTTTTGTAACACTTTATTTTTCATAGATGTTTGAGGTTCCCAGCAAAATTGAGAGGACAATACAGTGATTTCCTTTATGCCCCCCACCCCCATGTATGTATGGCTTCCCTCATTATCAACAGCACACATCAGAGTGTTACACTTGTTATAATTGGTGAGCCTACCTTGACGTATCTTAGTCATCCAAAGTCCATAGTTTATGGTGGAGTTCACTCTTGGTGTTGTACATTCTGTGGGTTTGGGCAGATGTATGATGACACACATGCATCTTTATGGTATCATAATGGAGTATGTTCACAGCCCTAGAAATCCCCTGTCTTCTGTCTATTCACCTCTCCCCACTCCCTGCCAGCCTCCACGCCTATACCCACCATTGATCTTTTTCCTGCCTCCATAGTTTTGCCTTTTCCAGAATGCCATATAATTGGAATCATACAGTATGTTGGCTTTTCAGGTTGTATTCTTTTACTTTGCAATCTACACTTAAGATTCCTTCCTGTCTTTTCATGCCTTGATGCTTCATTTCTTTCCAGCACCGCGTAATATTTTATTGCCTGGATGTACCCCAGTTTATTTTTTTCCGTCACCCACTGAAGGGCATCCTGGTGGCTTCCAAGTTTAGGCAATTATGAATAAAGTCGTTATAAACAGTCATGTGCAGATTTTTGTGTGGACATAAGGTTTCAATTCCGGTGGGTAAATGCCAAGGAGCACTAGACAGTATTACTTTTTATAAGTATGTATGTTAATTGTAAGATTATTTCTGTAGAAAATTTGAATAAAGTAAATCCCTTAGAACCAAATTAAAGTAGTCTTAGATATAAAAGTTTTTCTGAAAGGATGCACAAACAAGTATATAATATATTACTACCTGAGAAGGGTCTTTTATGCTAGAGTATTTTCTGTAGTCATGTAAGTATTGCTGATTAGTTATAAAGTGAAAATGAGAATTTTCAGATTCTGTCTTAAGTTACCAGCAAAGTGGATTTATCCACATACAAACTTAATTTAGACTAAATTCTCATTTTTTGGTATCTGCTGTGTGACACCTGGGGGGCTCAGTCACTTAAACATCCGACTCTTGATCTCAGCTCAAGTCTTGATCTCAGAATTGTGAGTTCAAACCCGGCACTGGGCTCCATGGTGGGTGTGAAGCCTACCTTAAAAAAAAAAAAAAAAAAAAAGCAACAATGAAAAAACCGCATCTGGTTGACCATCTGCTG